AAAAGTAGTATAGTTATGATAACAGAAAGAGAAGGAATGTGAGCTTGAAGTAAAGGAGGAAAGAGCTTGATTAGTATTAATGTAAAATAGTAGAATACTTATAACTAAATAAAGAGAGAGATTATTAAACAAACTCAACAACTCAAATCTCAGGAAAGGAAGAAATATACTGTATATGAGTACTAGCATACTAGAAACATAGAGATAGTGTGAGAGTGGAGAGAGTAGGGGGGAAATAGTAGAATATAAGTAAATAATCCTAAGTTACTATAATAAGCCTGTTCCTGTAGATAAAAACACAAATTTTATTAGTAAATAAACTTTATATAACTAATAGAGTAGAATTACCTTTGTTTCCTATCCAATTAAGTCTAGATTGAAATGAAGCTGAGTTTGTGTACTGAGAATATGCACTTAGATACAGTGGGCAAATTTCTTTCCCACGGGTGGCCCACATGTGGGTCTGACGCGTCGAAGCACAACTTTTGGATTGTCATTTTATAAAATCAATGAAATATTTATTTTCAATTTTTTACAAAAATAAAACGAGCGTTTTTTAGATAAGATGTTGTAATATATAATTATATATTTTTTATGTTGTAAAACAGTTGTAGTAGTCAATAATATGAGAAATGGCCTTAAATGGCCCACATGGGGCGCCGCGACAGTACTGGATACCGCAGCGGCGGCGCAGCCTATCGTACACGTCATTCACGGCTCTGGATTGTAAAACAAAAGTACAAAGGACTATGATCCGCTTAGGACAGCCATACATGGACAGGATTCTGTAGTAACATTAGCGATTAATTACTATCTATACATTCTCATCACCAAAACGTGCAGAGTCTGACAAGGCAATATATTTACATGTAGACTTTATAAGCGAATATAAGAATCCACAATATGTAAAAAATATATGTCTTAGCAGTAAATTCCAATACATTTTCGTGTTCGATTTGGTGATGCTATACCTCCGAGCCGCAGCGCCTAGCACTCGGGAAAATGTGTCCATAGACTCCATACCGAGACTTGTGATCTTCCTCTTCCATCATGAAGAATGGAAAAGCAAGTGCATAGATGTGTTTCGCAAATTCTATACACGTTTGCCAAATGGTGGATTTATGCTTGAATATTTTTTGACCGTTCTGTACAGTAGATATGCGGCACGTGCAGAAAATTGATCTCAGGATTCATCACGTGCAGCAGAGTTTCCTGTTGTGGCGAAGACTACCAGGCCAGGCTTCACTTGCTGCATTTCCCCTGCCCTCTTTACAACACGTTCACCAACCCTTCACAGTATAGTGGAATGTGCATTCTCTTCCCTGACACAAAGCAAGTAACAAGTTATTGTGCGAGCCGACGAGGATTAGTCTAATACCACTATTCGTTCACCTGGTCGAACACACAGTTGTGGGATCTTGCCTTCGTTCCTTTTGTAAGCCTGCCCAAGTTCGACTTACTGTACGCCACCAGCTGGCAGTTACCTGTGACCATAACGGTTTCCCATGGAAAAGTCTGCTGCTAGTCTAGCAGTACTATAGACTTAGACTAGCGACATGGTCAAGGAGGAGAATTAAACTTGTCCGATATTATCGACGGTCTTCACGCTGATGAAGAGGTTGTGGTGCATGTTGGTATGTGCTGCAGACCTGTACTACTGTCCTTTTGTTAGCTGACTATGCGCATGACCAGATCTCACAGCTAGACCCAGACGATATTTCGTTCCGGGTGTAACACACGTAACCCTGCTGCTGCTTCATTTAACCTTCCCCAGGTCTGTTTGTTTGTTATCCATGAGACGTTGGAGTTGATTCTTCGCGACTTTGATTGTCTGGGTAGAATGAAACGCACAATACAACGCTGGGTCGGTTGATGGAAGAAAGGGTACATTCGATTTGGCCACTGAGTACGTTTGACTCATTGCGATTCTCTTTAATCTTGTCTGAACGATTAAACATCTGTACACAATCCAGACTCATTCATTGTCTGCGAATGGAATGTAACCGTTGTGCCAAAAGAAGACACTTTGCGTTTCAGCTCTGATGAATTTCAACACCCCGGTACCCGGGACAATCGCGATTCAGCATAGTAAACAGCCTCAAAGCGGAAAGCAGCATTATCCTGCAAATGTGGCTCGTTTGGAAAATGGATTGCTGAAAGCCTGGGGGAGTTTGTGTCGGTTTGGGCTTTAGCAATTGTACAGGATGCAGGGCGGTGTTGGTTACAGGCTTTATTATCGTTAGCACCTGCAAGATGTCTTAGTCGCATCAGGTTCAATGGGCTTTGTCAACATTGTAGATGATTTTAGTTCGATTTGCTTTTTCATTCGGTGCGTCTTCCTCTGTGCCTCATTGTTTCTCTGTTAATTCCCTTTCTTCAGGTAAACTGAGACGTAGGTCTGATTGTTAAGTTGAATAGCGTGGTAAGCCTCCTCGATTTTTTAATTGAGACTTTCATTCTAATGTTCACTTTGTGTAGTGGAATAATAGACGTGTTTTTATGCATTGATGAATTCTTAGAATTCTTTGTGACATCTGTGGTCACGCTTGTGGTCATGAGGCACGTGTTACTCCTTTTATGTACATTTTTTAACCTACATTTTTTAACCGGCCCGAGCACCTTATCCGGAAAACCCTCAACTTCCAGCCGCAAACCCGTGCATCGTCGACACGATCGCGGTGGCGAGATTTTCTCAAACATTTTTGCCGATTTTCCCGTTGTCGCTGTCATCCCTGCGCCTTCTTCAAATCCCTACGTGTTACCCATGTCATGGCCCCTCGAGCCCAAACAGCTGGCCAGTCGCTTCGAAACCGAAATCGCATCTCAAACAAGACCCGACTCAAGGTCATTAGAGGTAACATCGACGCCGATCCACTTGCGGTCGATGAGGACGACGACAAGGCACGGCTTGCCTCGACTGCTGGAGTCGATGCTGAGGATGCGAATGTGCGTTGTCCATTTCTTACGATTTTTTTACTTGTCTTAGACGACGACTGTGCCCTTGTTGAACGCATGGCGTGGCACGTTCTCATTGGCTGTCTCGTTTCCCACGCCATTCCGCGGATTGAATGCTTACTAATATAATACATTTCCCCATTTAGGAACACCATCTTCAAGCAGTATTGTCTGCAGCGTCACATCGAGCGACGAGCGTTGTCCCCAGGGCGTCGACGTCTGCCAACGGGGAGAACAACGTCAGGAATAGTGACAGAGCCCCGACAGCATTTATACCGGTTCCTGATGCAGCTGGCGTTGTTGAGAACGTCGACGAACTATACCCTCCAGGTCGATGGGTGGAGTATGCAACATACATCAAATTCTCCGACGCTGTCGACGAGTCTTTGCTGTGTGGACTCAATGATGGATTCACCTATATTATGGACGAACGTGATGCAGAGTGGCTGGAGAAGAACAACCAAGAAGCGCGCGGTGAGGGGACAAGCTCCCAGGCTTCCGCCTCTTCAACTTCTGGTGCGACAACACGATCCGGGCACCGCAGTACCAAGGGCAAAGGCAAAGAGGCGGAAGCGAACATTCCAGTGCCGATGAATGAAAATGATTTCGAGCTTGTCATGGGGCTTTTCGAGAAAATTACACACGATAATACTCCATTTCTTCATGTTGTATGTTTAAACCTCCTTCTAGATATGTTGCATTTTATCTCATTCCACTTTGCAGACTTTTCAGCAACAGCAAGACAGCTGTATATCCTCTTTCTCTGACTACCAAGATGTGTTCGCGAACGACCTGCCCAAAAACTATTTTGCTCGTTTCATGACTCCGCCGAATATACCGCCCCCATCCATGTTGGTACGCATGGCCAAGACAGTTTATCCTCATTGGAAGCAACGAAAAATCGAACGCGAAGGCCAGCGTATCATTCCTGGTTTGAACGTACGTTTCGCCATAGTATTCCCAGATCAGATTTTGCTGACGTGCACTGTTATTAGTTTGATGAATCTGACACGAAGAATGAATCTTACATCTGCTTCCGTCGCCGTGATCAGAAATCGATCCGCAAGACTCGCCAGGCAGCAATATCATCGGCCGACAAGCTCAGCCGTCTTAAAAAGGAGATTGGACAGGCGATTGAGCTGTCGACCTCGTTATTGCATCGAGAAGGAATCAAGAAGGAGTCGGTCATTGAAGCGGCTAAAGACGTCTGGGAGCGGCGTATCGCTTTCCTGGAACTGAAACGAAAGTCATTTTCATTCGCTGGAAAGGAGGACGAAGAAGTGCTGATCGACAAAGAACGCCAGCCCAAAAAATCTAAGGCCGAACAAGCGCAGTACGTATTTCGCCTTTTCATTATAAGAGATTAGTTTTTACTTGTTTTTCCCCTTAGGACTATTCGACTCAAGAGTCGGCCAAATGGCGATATCTCTGCTTCTCCTACTCCTGCTGAACGTCAAATGCGTCCGAAGGATAGGTTTGCGGCTATTCAACAAACCTTTGAGACAGCAATGAAGCGTATAAAGGAAGGGGAACATGGCTGGGATGATCAAATTGACGTGAGTCTGCGCTTATCGTTTTGGCAGAAAAGTCGAATTTGACTGTTCTCTAGTCGTCTTTCCAGCAGAGTCCTATTCCTTTACCAGACAAGTACTTCAAAGTTGTCCCCGAGAGCAGCACTGCAAGTGCGTCTGCCACTAGTGATGATGTACGTCGAGCACCTGTGCATACTCGCATGCGAGTCGGACGGGGTGGACGCCTGTTCATTGACCGACGACGGCTTCAGCTTCATGGTGATGGTGGTAGAAGTTCACTTCGGTCAAGGGACACGGAAACGCGCAGATCGACAAATCTGGATCCTACCGAAACTAGAGAGAGGCTTTTGGAGGAAGATGAGAGAGCTCGGCGCATTGAGCGATGGCGCTATGATTTGGCAAGCGAACCGACAGGTGCGGACGAAGAAAACCGGGGCCTATTTGATGACTACGATGCTAGGTAATTTATACAGTCGTGTTGATGTTCATGTAGCTGATGCGTTTGTCGCGGTTCAGACATATGCGCGTGCAAGCAATGCTTCTCAACGATGCCGACCCGCTTATGACTGACAACCGCTTACTTGTGTTCGATCCTTCGACCGGTACCCACAACTATGTCAATCCTGTGAAGCCGGTCCCTATCACGTCTTTGGTCCGGAGGGACGCAGTAATGCTGCAGCAAGTGCGGACGGCGTCAGGTGCGCAGCCACCTGCGCCTCAGTCTACTCAGCCGCAGGCAGTCCCTGTAGCCCAAACTAGCTCGATTCCTAACCCTCTGCAATCGCCCATTAAAATTCCAGCTTCCTCCAGTCCGTCGCATGCACGTGCCACTTCTAATGGAGCGCAGCGATCTCCAAGCAGTGCTTCCGCCACCAGTGCACAGGTTAGCGCCAATCCGAGTTCATCACCTCCCTCAAATCAGGCGAATGCGATGCACATTAACGGTCTTCCTCCGCAGTCGAGCCCAGTCAATGGTATGCCTTCAGTCCCCCTTGCATCTACCAATGGCGTCGGGAACGGCAACGTTAATGGCAATCTGAATGGTTTGATGAATGGTCTGAACGGTGTTGTACCTGGCTTGCAAGCCAATACAGGCGTCAATGCAGCCGTCTTTTCGCAGCAGCAAGCAATTGCCATGCAAAAGCAGAATTTGCAGAAGTTCTATGCCAATTATTCCGGAAATATGCAACGGAACAGCCAGTCACAATTTCCGCAGCATTCGATGCTGAATGGTGCTTTAGGAGGAGAAAATGTTAATATTGCGAACGCTGTGAACGGTGTGAACAACACGAATGTCATGGGCCCGGTTAACATGAATCTGAAACTGCCTGCCAACCGCCAGATACAATGGACGAACGCGGCTCAACGTGTCCAGTCAGGACAGGGTAACATGATGAACGGAAACGACGCCGCCGCGTTACAGAACCTACAGATGCAGCAACTTGCAAGTCTTGGATTACTCCAGTCGCAAAACATACCTGCGATTAATGGCCATAGTAATAGCCACCTATCTCCTCCGCGCTCCGCGCATTCGCCTCCAAATGCACTTGGACACGGTTTATCTCTTTCTCCACATATGGGCAGTCCTGCTCAATCTCAGGTTCATATGTCTCCATCGCGAAACATGCAGACTCCCGTTCCACCCTCTCCATCCCCACTCCTTCAGCACCAAGTACCTAATCTTGTAGGCGGCTTACCCTCGCAGAACCAAGGGTTTTAATCGCATGTAGTATGTTTCCTATGTCGGTATGTTACAAGCTGCATTCTTCCTTTTTCCCTTCCTTTTCGTGCTGTATGGCTACTATTCGCCCTTTCTTTGACTTTGACTTTCTTCGTTTATATTGTAGTTTGTTTCTGTTTCTTCGCTTTTATTCTTCTATTCCCTTCTACTCATTTTTGTTGACTTTTAACGCAGACGATTGAATGGCTGTAATTTATTTGTTCTATACGCAATAACTCAGATTTTCTTTTTTGGATTTTGAAACCAAGTTTTTTTTAATCTTGCGCATGCAAATATGATTGGAGTGGGGACGTGTGAATGTCGTGCATTAAAGATGTGTCTAAATAACACAATGAAAGTAAATAAGTGATTAAGATGATTTTGCAGGTGGAGTCCCAGCATCTTTCGCATTGCCCTGCTGTTGCTGATCCTGGGGTGACGGTGATGGACTGCCAACACCTGATAGAACAGTCCAGAGGTTGCCGGACATGGCTGCTGCTGCAGCTTGACGGTCATCTTCGATGAGCTTGTCGAATTGCGCCTTGTTAGCAGCGATGTAAGCTTGCTCCTCGCGGTAATGCGCCTGTGCCTCCTTGCGTTTTTGTTCTAGGTAGGTGAGTGGTTCCGGGGAGTGGGAATCCTAGTTAACGGGTTAGTTATATTAATAGAGTAGTCCATGACTAGCTAAGGGGGAAATGGTGGTGGAGTGACAGGACTTACGGAAGAACCACCGAAGAGGTGACTAAGAGTGAAACCTCCTCCGCTGGCGACTTTCCCCTTTCCACTCTTCTTCCAGTCCTCTAGGAATTGGCGTTTTGCCTCGGCCTCTTTCTTGGCGTACTCGATGGGGATGTTCTTCCCCTGATACGCTTTCAAAATAGGCCGTATGTCCTGAGGTTTGTAAATCGCAATCGCTGTATATTTAATTTATCTCCGCGTTAATCCAATTGGAGAAAAGTAATAATTCTGGTCGAGGAAAGGCACGAACATTCAAGGAACGGGATCATAGCGACTAGGTCCTTGTCCGACGGGTCACCTTTCCATTTGGGGAGAACGATGGCGTTCTCGGGTTGTAGAGCTACGTGTTCGGGATCGGTATCCATTATAATGACTTTGGAGAGATCACGGTTAAGATAGCTTAGGTCTTTGACGACGGAACCATTGACAGAACGAGTGGATTCTCGGAATAATTTATATGTGATGAAGAAGCTGTATGGGTCGAGTTTCTCGATTATAGGAATTGCAGTCTGCACAGAAAATATATATCAGGAAGGAATAAGAGAAGAAAGTAGAGATAAAACTAACATAGTGATTTTGAGTCGTGAATATGACGACTTCGTAGAATTGCGACAGGTATGCTAAGAAATAATCAACGCCGGGTCGTTTTGCTGTGCGCCAGCCATTTTTCCGCTGCAAGGGTAAATCAGCCGAGAAATAAGAGTAAAGCGTATAATAGGCGCTTACGTCCCACGTAGATGTTACTAATAGATCATCAATAGATAGTAGTAGAGTATATGGTTTTTGGAGAGGTGGCACAGCTGGTGGAAGCAACTCGTCCCAAGTCGGCTTGCTAAAGAACTGCGAGATGCTTAAGGTCGAAATGTAGATATCGAAAAAAAGTCAGGGAACATACGTCAAACATGCTTGTTATCCGTTCCTTCGTCCGACCGAATCGCGTAGAAGGAGCATCTTCCACTCTCTGAGGACATAATTTAAACAAAAGGTAATGGTATTAATAGTCGAGACGCTTACAAGTTTCTTCGCCTTTAATTCATCTGCTTCCCACTCGCGTCCTAAGTAGAATGTACCAGCAATGACACCAACACCAAACGCTGCTAGCGTTGCCCGACCGAGAAATCGTCTTCGTCGCTCAATACTTGAAAGTGAGTCTTTCGAGGAGCGGGCGCCTGTCCGTTGCATTGGTTCACCCTCAGACTCAGCCTTCGGAGAAAAGTCCAAGCTCAAAGACGTCGTAGAAGGTGGAGTACTCTCAGCTGATTCTGGCGTCGGCGCTGGTGAATCTGGGGGTTTCGTTGCATCCGCCGAGTTGCTGCTTTGCGAAGCTCCAGGGGACGTGAGTGGTTTTGTTGCTAAATATCGAGCATTATATAAAGCAGTTCGCCGTAAGCAGTGTGATGTACGAGACAAGAAGAGGCTCTGCATCGTCTGCTTAATGTGTTTTGCTCTGCAGGAGAGACACGGCGAGAACGAGTGCGAAACAGAACTCAGCAGAGAGATAGAGAATCCAGCACGATTTTCGTGTCATGCTACGTCACGTCACACTTCATATGTATATTTATTTTACCGAGCCGAGTGCAGTCCACAACACGATGAATTCGATTTATATTCCTAAAGTCGGGGATTGAATAGATTATGTCTCACCTCCTGCCGTTCCTGGAGGCCAAAAGAAATCAGAGTTCCAAAAGTAAAGAAAAGAGAAATAGTAACAAGGATAGCCGAGAAAAGGAGTAGAGATATGGCAGCAAATATTGGCTAGAAATAAAGAGTTTCACATTCTGGGAAGCTGCAAACAAAATGCCAAACTACAGAATTGTAAATTTTTTTAGATGTTAGATTAAAACAGAAATAATGACAAAAAATGTATTTTATCAAATTAGAACCAGTATGATTATATACAGTTGCTTTGAATACTTTGTTTCGAAAATGACAAGTTCTGCTGTTGTTCCTACGCAATCGGACTGGCTTTTTCTCGATTGTACTCCTTTCCTTGAGACATTGCGTATCCATTGATTATGTAAGCGGCTGCTTTGATGCATTCAAATTTCACAAATGCAAAGTTGTGCCAGGCTCATGACCCAATATCTCCGCAATGCACAATATTGGCCTGTATATTTTCTCGCGGGTATTGCGTACTAGAAGTTGATAGTAGGCGGCGGAGACGATGTTGCTTATCGATAAGACAGCTTGTCTGGGTCAAGGAGATAGCAACAATACAGAAGACGTACATCAATTGCCATTGTCTACACCGATCCTTGAAGAAGGTAATTCGAAGGAACTTATAGGTAGATCCGAAGGAATTGTGTACAGGAAGATAGGTGAAGTGGGAAGTGGTTGCCAATTTGACGTGCTTGTGAGTGTATGCTATACCTAGATTCTTCTTATCAGGTTCCTTTATACTTCTGATTAGATTTGTGAAGAGATTATCAATGGCAAGGTCTCCGGAGAAAAGGTGGCCATAAAGAAGAGAAAGCCTACAAATGCAGGTAAAAATGCTCTGGATAAAGAAGTTCTATTCCAGAACTTGTTCAGAGAGAAACTGAGTGACTCAGCATATGATTATATTGTGAGATCTAGTCGTATTTGCATCATACATATCATCACTTCTGATGCACATCACATCCTTCTTCGCACAGGCAAACTAGAAAGGAACGATAGGGGTACAAGGATCCCAATGTCTCATATTCGAGTATCTTGAAGGAGGAGATATTGCGCATTATGTCAACAGCCCTGTGAAAGGAAGTGAACGAGAAGAACAAGTCGCCACTTGGATTAGGTCAACATTTGCTTGTCTAACACGACTAGAGCATACGTCACTGACATCCTGGTGACCTCAGAGATATATTAGTTGCACTTGCCATTATACACTCCCTCGGTGTCTTGCATCGCGACTTGAAGTAAGACAAACGCATATTGTTATTGACACAATCATATACTTACCATATTTTATGAGGCCGAGCAATATCATTCACGCAGGGAGGAATGGGACTAGAGCGAAGTTGATTGACTTTGGCTGGTAAGTACATCTTAGTAAAGAGCTGAATTAGCGCATTCTGAGACAGGAATAGGGTTGTTCGGTTTCAAGAACCAGGAAGAAAGGTGAAAGGAGGGGCAGGATACAAGTTTAGAAGTCCTGAAGGCCATCTAGAGAACTATATAAATAACAAAGCAGATATATTCGCCTTAGGGTATGCACTCTTCTCCCTGTATCTATTCTGTGACTGAAAATGTCCAAAGACTCTGTACCTACATGCTTCTCTTAGGTCGACACCCATTTCTTCGTTCGGGAGAAGATTTTGCGGACAGTGGGACAAGCCGAGCTCTTATAGATAGAATCAGAGACGAAAACATAGATTTTGATCTCCCAGAGTTCAAGTCCTTCTCATTAGAAGGTAAGCTTTGAGCTTATACTATAAGATGTGAAACACACTGAATTGCTGCTTTGGCACACAGCTGCTGAGTTCTTGAAATTAGTGCTGCAAAAAGATCCAGAACAAAGACCTGATGCAATATTGGCACTACAGGACAAAGTGAGGCTTTGATTCTTCATAAACGACATATATTCTTAATAATTGTTGTTATCTATAGTGGTTCCGAAAGTTTGGACTTGATCCGATGATTAGGCCTGGTGATTCCTGGTGGGTGAAATGCAAATAGGAATTTGAAGCAGTAATTACATCAATACAAATTCGAAAATTAGTACCCTAAAGAAGCCATCTTCTTTCTCAAACAGATGAGAGCACACACTGTTGAGACAATTGGAATCATGTGCACTTAGAGCGTGAAGCTCAAATATTTTCGGCATGCTAACGGAAACAACATACATTGTGAAAGTGTCTTATATAGTTCATCAAAAATTAATCGAAGGATAAAACGACTGCACATATCATGAGAGAACGCCTTTAGCTCAAAGACAGCTGCTCTCAATCCGAACTTCTATTAGGATGGCTATTAGATACAGTATACAAACATTGCAGTTGTTAATACTTTGCTATCTTATATAATCTTCTACTTTGTATCATCCCATAAAGCAGTGTACCATCCGACTTCCCCATGTCTTATACTGTTGTACAGACTCATATCTAAGAATATTTCATAACTATCTCTATCTCAGAGAAGTAGAAAAAGGGAGGATGTCGCAGAACACAGGAGCAGCAGCAAATGGTGCTAAAGATGATAGCAGCAGTGCGAATAGAGCCAATGTATCAAGCACGTCAAAAGAGAATCGAGTAGGAGCGACTTTGGGGAAGTTTGATAGCAGGCCTGAATCAGTCGAATACAAGCGGATCGGTAGGGCCGGGAGTGGATACCAGTCTGATGTTCTTGTGAGACTGTCGATGCATTTGCCACTTTTGCAATCGTTGTGATGTTTTGTTGTATTAGATATGCGAAGAATTAGTCTCAGGGAAACCGTCTGGAGAGAAAGTGGTCGCAAAAAAAGAAGTGCCTAAATATTCAAGCAAATCCGCTCTTGAGCACGAGACTTTCGTTCAGGCGTATCTCAAAGAGAAGTTGAACGATTCTGCATACAATTTTATCGTACGTACCATCGCCACAGCAAACATATTCGGATTGTTTCTCACTCTAACTCAGGTTAAATATAAAGGGCTGGAAGACATGGAAGATGTCCAGTGTCTCCTCTTCGAGTATCTCGAAGGAGGTGACATCAAGCATTACATAGAGAGTCCTGTATCAGGCGAAGAAAGAGAAAAGCAGATTGCAATTTGGATGAGGTCAAGCCTGAGTCACCTAATAAGCGAAGATGTTAATTAACGATCTGTGATTGATTTTTAGAGATATACTGGTTGCACTCGCTATTATCCATTCCCTGGACATACTGCATAGAGATGTTAAGTAAGAACAGGTAAATCGATCGGTTGCGCTTAATGATGACTTTACTTTGCAAGGCCAAACAATATGATCCACTCAGGTGAGAATGGAAGCAGAGCAAAATTGGCCGACTTCGGATCGTAAGTCTTTCTCTCTCTAACGACGCGTTTTGCCTCGATATAAATGCAGCTAGTTCCGCGTTTTTGGAGCCGCCTGATAGGAAGGTAGAAAGCAGCGGAGCGTATAAATACAGAAGTCCAGAAGGTCATCTTACTAACCGAGTGAATGATAAAGCTGACATCTTTGCGTTGGGGTATGTAATTGCCTCCGATTGATGAGAGCGTACTTCTCAAAACGCTGCAGATTATCGACCTATGAATTGCTTTCAAGGAGGCGACCGTACATCAAGTCAAGTGAACAGATTCCAGACAGAGAATATCTCAATAGGATCAGAGACAGTGCTCCAGATTTTGACCTTCCTGAGCTCAAGCACTTTTCGGCAGAAGGTGAGCAGATGCCGAACGTTTAGATAAGGACGGATCGCATTGATTTTTTATCACAGCCATCGAGTTCTTAAAGAGAACGCTAGAGAAAGATCCAGAGAAAAGGCCGAATGCAGTGACGGCACTGCAGGACTGCGTAAGTCTCGTTGCCTTCCTGAAATAAAGTTTTGCCCTCATCATCCTTGGCGTAGTGGTTCCGTCGCTTTGAACTAGATCCAATTGTTAGACCCGGTGATAATTGGTGGTTAATAAAGAAGACGGATATTGGTTCAGGGGCGAGGTTTGCTCTAGTACCAGACAGACGGGCAAGGTGTGCCTTTCCAATTATTTAATTAGGCCCCCAGTTACGATTCAGATATGAGACGGTCGTACAGCATGAAACGTGTATTTGTGCCCCCTTAGAATAGCACGTGTAATGCTGAACGTAAGTCTCCTCGTTGGAAAGGAATTGCTTTGCTGGCTGTGAACGAATCAGTGATTACTACAGTTGTTTTCAAAAATGATGTCACACACAGATTTCACGTGTTTTGGTCACACTTTACTAAAAGTAAGAAAAACTAAACAAAAAACCTATTTTCTCTATAAATACAAAGTGTTATATAGTTATTAAACATTCAAAAATTATCTTTCAAATAAGAGCTCTATTATATGTAAGAAATTAAGCAATTTTATTTGTGCATATTTATCTATAAGTCTGAAAACAGTACTTGTTATTGTGTCAATGTATAAAACTATTTTCTAATCAAAGACTGTATTCTATGTAAGTCTTTCTAAGTATTTTCTTAAATAAAGAATAATACACATGAATACTTATTTCTATAGAAATAGTAATTCTGAGCAAGAATTATATTAAAACAAACACATTTTCTTTTGAATTAACATAATTATACTATTCTTTACTCAATTAGTAGTAGGATATTAGTAGGATACCTTCTCTTTTCTTCTTTAATTTGTACATATACTGTATTCTAACTAATATATAACTTTATTCATACTATACTTATAATGAAATGAAGGAATTGTAGTCAAAAATACATTACTTTGTATGAATACATGATTAGTACAGGTGGTTGTAACTGTAGTTTGTATTGCTGGCCACAAACTTTTGCTATACTATGAAGGACTACCCTTTCTAAAGATGCTTGCTTAATAGTTCTTCAGATACACTGGAGAGGTACTCTGTCTGTGGCCCAAGTATTATTTCTGACTAGAGTTAAGGAATGGACAGTTTGTCAGATTATAAGGTATTAGTAACACACAGGGAATGTAGAACTTGATGTGCTAGTTAATTGTGGGCAGCCACAAGTCTTAGACTATACAGATACCCAGGTAAGTTTATATTTCATAATTTTCTGTTGTCTCTAACTAATAGCCAATCTATAGTACCTTCTTAGTATAATAGATTACTAGAATGACTAATATTTGGATAAACTGTGAGAAACTTTAAGCTCTGTTTGTGGCAAGAAAGTTGCAGATTCTACTGTCTGGAGGGTATTACATTGTTCTGGTTTTATACTAAAGAAGGTGAGTCCTCTAATACAGTACTAAAAATTAGAAAGAAAAAACAAATTAATAATTTTGTACTTAGATCTCTTACAGAGTACTACAATACAATAAGTAAGCAAGAGTCCAGTATTGTATAGAGATAGCTGAGGAGGACCCAGAGAATACTTGTTTCATTAATGAGAGTACATATACTTAGTATACAGAGTTGTAAAATGTAGTATAAGTATTAGCTAACTAACAGGCTATTTGTAAGAAGATTTTTGTCAAGAGTAAACAGTGAGTGATTCTGGAATTTTCTCTTACTTAAACTAATCTTTTTCTAAATACTCTATCCTTCCAGCTATTACTATTTGTAGTATGCTTGACTGTATGATTATAGAAGAATCATACAATATAGTATTATTTTATACTTTTATTAAATCTGTTATGGCCAAACTTTACTCTAGTACTATTATTATTATAAACAACTACTCTATTCATAAATCTAATAAAGTCTGTAATCTTATTAAGTCTCAGTAAGCTCTATTATTTCTATTATTTCTGTTCTAATGTTTGTAACAGGGGGATAAAACTCAAATTCCTTCCTATATATTTACTCAATTTTAATCTGATTAAGTTAGCATTTTCAGTATTGAAAGCTCAATTACACTATACTAGGTTTGAGTATGTAGGTAATAAGGGGCTTACAGAGCTTTACAAGCAGTTGTATAGAGAAGTAATGTTTATAAGTGTAGCAGACTACTGTACTTTCTATTAATACTATGTGTTAGGATTGTAGGATTGGACCTATTTTATTTTCTTTATATCTCTGTCAGTTTTGTGAAAAACCAACATTACTACTGGATTTTCATAATCCTTAACATCTTATCTATTATTCTACAAAGTTTCATAAAGATTGTCTTAGTATTGAGCACAGGAGAGAGCTATAGAGACACAAGATAGTGTATACAATTACAATACAGTTAATATATTTCTTACCCAATATAGTAACTTGTACCTCTTTTGTATAATAGTCTCTTAGCCTATATTCTCTAATGTGTAATAATCTGTTAATTCTTCCTAGCCTCTAATGTGCCTGTTAGCTTTATAATATTTGTTCTTATTATTTCTTTAATCTTATTCTTAAGTTTTATTCCTTACTTTACTCTTGTTATTTAGTTATTATAAAAAGTAGCTTATAGATACAGTAGTTCCTTAGTTTTTTTGACTCTTCTTGTATTCCTACTTGTTCTCTTAGTATAAGTCCTAGCTAGTAGCTTTGGGAATATAGTTAGATTAAGGACTGTAAGTCTACATTCACAGTTTGAGAGTACTATTAACTTAGAGAACACATCTCCTTTAACACAAGAGTCAAAAAAACTTATCTCTACCTTAATACTACTCTTAGTCTAAGCTACTACTTGATTAATATCCTCCTAGTCAGAACTACTACTTGACTATCCTCTCTATCTGATTCTATTCTCCTTCAAGTCTGAACTACTGTTCAATTCATTCTACTAGAACAGTACTAAAGAAGTACTAAATACTGTTACAAATGAGTTCTAAGTTTGTAGTAATATACAAAGGCTGACAGGACAAAGGTATCTTTGTTACAGTCAGAAATACAAACTGATATATGTATAGACAAAGAACTCACCTTTGTTACAGTCAGAAATACAAACTAATATAACAAAGGTGAAGAATACTAGCTATATATACTAAGGAAATGGTTCATACCTAAAGGGGAAAATAAAAGGGGGAACAAAAAAGGGGGGACATAATACATACTTAAAGGGGAAGACAAAAGGAGATAGTATGTATTTAGGAATGTAGGGAAGGTGGTTATGACAAAAGGGGGACTTAATACAAGTACAAAGGAAAAGTATGTAGCTTAATAAGTTACTATAAGAATCTATATACAGAAAACACAGTTCTATACTAGGACAGGTGTAGAACTGTGTAGAAACTATTATAAGCTGTCAGACAGGCTTACACTCCTCTCCTCTCTAAAAAAATAGTACCCTTATAAGGATACAAAGCTAACCAGGCCTGTAGAACTTTAGAGGCTGATCTTTAAAGCTCTAACTATACTTTCTATTCCTGTCCCTATTTACCCTATCCTACTCATTCTACTAAATACTGTCAACCTTACTCTCTGTGCCTTACATTTACAATCCACAACACCTTATAAACCTCCTCCTCTCCTTCCACCAGACCTAGTTGATTAAGAGTATGTTGTAGAAAGAGTACATTATTATTTAGAATGTAATGCTTGAGTTAGCTTGTATAGAATTCTAGGAAAGTTTAATTAGAGTTAGGTAGCTCTAGAGTATATTCTGACTTGTCTAAGTTTGTTACAATAATAAAGTATAGTCTATTATAGTAAGGTATAAATTTTGCAGCACATTCTAGTATTTATACAAGGTAGTCCTAGTTGTAATTATAAGTAGAGAGTATAACTTAGTCTCTTACTGTAAAACAATCTTCTATAGTACAGTCCTGATTTGTATAATGTATCTAGTAGGTCTTAACTACTAGAAGAGTGTCTTGTACCTCTGTAATGTTCTAATGTATGTAGGCTAGGAATTCTAATACTTGTACTTCTAGAGAATCTACTTACAACTGTTCTAGTTGTATAAACAGTAGAACTGTTTACAGTAAGTATTTATAATATAGTTGGAATAAGGAATATCCTATAGAAGCATTTACTGTATTTATAATACAGAGCCAAACCTATAAGAGCTGAGCCTACCAACCCTACTGTTAGTAATTAATATAGAAGTATAGTAACTAGCTTACTATCTTATTAGTATACTTACTTACTCTATCTGTCTCTGAGTAGTATACTGTTAACATCTTTAGCTTTATACCTGTCCTTGTGTATAATACAGTCTAAAATCTGGACAGGAACAGACAGTCCTAGTTAGAAACAATTTCCTAAGGTAAGCTGTTTTTATAATACTATTTATTAAAGAACAGTTCTGTAAATTCTTCTACTATTATGTCTATCTTACACAGTTCAATCCTAATGTCTGTACTACCTAGTTAATCTGTTATTGTTACTATTCTGTTGTATCTACTGTCTTCTGACAACAGTCTGACAAAGTCAATTATAATACTCTTAAAACATACATTTAGAACTAGTAGTAAATATAGTAAACTAGCAGGTTTTGTAGTTAGGTTCTTGTTACATTAGTATACATTATAGTCTAGAATATAGTTCTGTTCCAGATCCTAGTACATATTAGGCTAATAGAATGAGTTGTGTAAGGACAGATAAGTCTTGTCTGTACTGAAATGTTCTAGTTCATTATACACAAGATAGTACAAGGTTTTGTACACATTTCTAGAGCTCAGAATCACTAACTAGTTGTTCAGGTATAGTAGTCTATAATCCTTACAAGCTTCTACAATACTTCTAAGATTGTATCAAAGCTTGTAACAAAACTCATCTGTGTTATAACTGTTCCTAATTGTTGTAAGAAGGTCAGAATCTGTAGAGATTTGTATAGATATGCTTCCTAAAGTTTCCTATACTAGGTTCTCATTTTCTAGGCTGGCCTTAAAGTCTGAGTGACAGGAGAGTGTATTAGTGACTGTGTTCTCTTCTCTTTTAATGTAATACAGCTTGTAGTCATACTAGGAAAGGTCCTTCATCTACTAGGCTTGTCTTTAGAACAGATTATACTGTGTATCTAAGTATTTAAGAGTATAGTAATTTGTGTAAATATGGAAATGTACTCTCAGGAGGTAAACACACCATTTCTTAAGTGTACAAACAATTGTAAGAAGTTTGTACTTATGTACTAGGTAATTGTATTCTGTACTATTGTATTGCTTAGACTCAAATGTTACAGGTTTTACTGTTTTCTATAA